CCTTCTACAGGTTATTCACTGTGCTGTACTTACAGGCAGCATTCACATCTCTCACCTTTTGATCTGCTAAGCTAAGACTGGTTTTCTTTCCTACTCTTAAAATGCTTTTTTTTCCCCAGAGCATTCTAGTAGCTGTTATATTCAAAACTGAAATGGTGCAGATATCTCTTAACATTTATAGCCCCATGAGATCTCAGAGTGTCTTGAAAATGACATAATGCTTCCTTATTTTTGCTTGATATTTCTCCTGACACCTTCTTTGGCTGCTTCACATTGTTTTCTTGTGGTTAAGCAAACCATTCAGGTTCTTCTCTCCAGTCATTGCTAATTAATGAACTCATATCTGAAATTCTTGATATTAATCTTGAAATACCTGGCCTTCCTGTGTAGTTTTAGTACACTATTTAATTTTGGACCTCTTGTGGTCTCTGCTAACTTTGTATCACTGGTAACTTTGATCAGTGTATTCCCACTTGTGCTAGAATAGTTAAATTTGCATTTTGAGCACAATCCTTCCCTGAGTCTGGTTAATAAATTGCCTACTTCTTAAATTCCATTTAATTTAAGTAGGATAGTCATGAAGCTTTCTTCTTAACACAAATCACTGAACTGATTATTTTTCACTGTCTTTCCTTTTATTAATGCACAGAAGAATTTTGATGACAGTTACTTGAGTTGCTATTTCTTGATTGTTTTAAGAATGCTCATTTTAAGAAAGTAAGTGTTGGGGCTGTGGAGAGGTGAAAACCAGCGACAACAGTGAGACCAAAGATTAATGCTCTGAATTACCTTATTTCCTGCTAACTTTCTGAGAGAAATAACAGACACGATTTGAAAAGTCCCTTACCCTGTACACCATCTCCTCTTCTGAGATTTCAAGGAGAGAAAAGCAGATGGGCCTGGCTTACAAGGACCTTACATCTGGGTTTTGTCATACGGAGTCTGCAATTGGGTATGAAAACTGGGGAGTGCATCACAGAAGTGGTTGTGTTGGAGCTGAAATCGATACGTATCTTGGAACCGTAAAGTATCCGAAGTTGGGAGAGACATGTAAGGATCTTCAAGTCCAGCTCCTTCCAATGTTTTATACTGGCTTATTGGGGGGGATAATTAAAAACTACCTGTGGAAAAAAGTTGTATTTCTAATGAGTCTGAGACAGAGTCAGAAGGAACTGAATTGAGTTGATAGGATCACAATTCCTATAGTGAAAAAGGCCACCCAGCAGTGAACTATCCCTTTTGAGCGAAGTTAGATTGCAATTGCAGAGGGAAACCATTGGTTAAAAATGTATCTTTTTTTAGTTACTGTTGTATAACCTGATGGTTGTGCAGTGATGCATCCCCAAAGAAACAGGATTTTGTTTTGGTACTCGCACTCAGCCGGTTAATGTAGCCTTAATCTTGGGTTTAAGGTTCTCTAACTTCCTCCAGGTACTTTAAGATGTCCCCGTAAACTCTTTTTTCTTTTTAACTGTATTTTGAAATATAGGGTAAGTATACTCTAGCAATATTTGGAGTTGATTTGAAAGAAAATGTGGAGGACAGTGTTTTCTGTGAGGACTTTTCCAACTGCACTGGTGTATGAGCTGAAGTTGGTATTGCATTTCAGGCCACTGCTGTATTGGGTTACTGGTAGATGCCAGTAGTCATGCAGTTTGTTCCCTCCTCACTGTCCCCTGGACGCTTCTTTTTGTTTGCTTTGGTTTTATTAAGCACTTATAAGGTTACCTTTTTAAAAGAATTAATAGAAATAAGCCTTGAAGAGCCCATCTAAAGGAAATTATTCTACTTTTTTTACTGTCCCATAAGCTAGTTGAATTTAAATGTGTTGCATTACTCTTACTAATGCTTGTCTGAGCTAATAAAGACGCGCAGACTTGCACCATGTAATGCATAATTCTGTGTTTTGGTGAGTTTGTTTTTATATTTATTTTCTGGCCACTGAATTGATTTGACAGAATGAAAGAGACTCTGAAGTCACACGGAAGTATCAGGTGGCTATGAAAAAGTCAAATATACATAGTGAAAGTTGTACTCAAATATTGCTGACTTATCTTTATTAAGTAATAACCGCCCCCCACCCTATGCTGTGGTTGACACACATTTATGGTGTCTCATTATATATACTATTAGAACCAGAAAATGAAATGAGCTGAACACCAATGCTAGGCTTGTTCTCAGGTTGACATTCGAAAGCATAGCTGGAGAAAGGAACCACTTAAATCCTAACCTTGTAAGAGCTTAAATACACTGAAGACTTTTACTGTGAGGTTTTAACTGAGCAATATTCTCCTTAAGTAAAGAGAAGTTGAGAAAAGGAATGCTGCTGGTCACGTAAAAGGTTTACAGGCTGTGTTCAGGCTGTTCTGGTTCGGTAGCAGACAGTCTAGGAAATTGTTTGTATGATGCTTATCAATGGACTTTATTAGATACAGGTAAGAACATTTCCCCTATCTGCCCAGGTTACCTCGGGAGCCTGCATTAGGTGCCTGTCTTCAGCCTTTTCGCAGCGAGTTGAAGAAATGTTTCAAATGTCTCCTATAACCAGTATCAGTGGGGTTAATAAAAATGATACTGTGTTATTTGCAGGCGTAATTGAGCCCTGCTTGTGGATTTTGTTCCTTTATTCTGTGGAGGTGTCCTGTATGAACTTCCAGAGTGACTATGTTATACAAACATTAAAAGACTATCTCCAAATGATAGATTGGCCAGTTAGAGGCACTGGTTGAAAAAACAGCTTCATGAATCATGTGCTAGTGGCCAATCTGCAAGGCTAAAAATTCTCACTGGAGTTTGCTTACTGATCTATAAATGTGTTTCAGCTTTTCTGGCAGGAATCATGGAACACTGCCAGAGGGATTGAAGAGAGCCAGTGTTCTGGTTTTGTCACACTTAAGCATCAAATTAAAAGCAGAAGATCTAGTGGGAGATGAGGATCTTTGCTTCAGTGGGAATAATTTTCCTATACCTTTGAGTAAGGATTCTGATTTTTGTTTGAACTGGCAGCTGTCATATAAGCCCTGGGCATGTGTATTGATTTTAGGTTAAAAAGAAAATTTTCCCCTTTCCTTCAAAAAATGCACTATTTAAAACTAGTTATTTTTTCTCTTTAGAAGTATTTCGGGCATTGCTGTGCATTATAAAAAAATGAGACATTAACAGTTTCAAATTCTGTCCTTCCTCTTCACATCAACTGAAGATCAGAGGCAGCCAAAATTGCTGTTTTCTGGTAATGTGAGCAAGTTGTGTCACAAAATAACTCCTGTTTCTTCAACAGTAATTACTTCAACAGTAATAATCAACCTTTAAAAAGAAATAAATTAAACAGTCAGTGAAATTGAGTCAAAGGAGTTGAAAGTTGCATGTCAAAGCTGCAGAAAGAGCCTGTATTTGAATAATTTGGAGTTTCTGGTTCCCAAACCTGTACTTAAGTCTTCAGGAGCTCTTGAAGTGCAGTCTCTCCCTGTTGTCAATACATGATTCATTACAGATAAGCTCCATTCCACCTTTGCTCTAATGTGGTACCTCCCAGTCTTCAAATACATGCACCTTATTTTTGAAGACTTATTTCTGTCATTTTGTTGATACTTCTTCTATATAACCTTCTGTACTTCTGTGATGAGCATATTTGGCAAATGAAGCTACGAAAGAGAAGTTAAATGAGCCAGGAAAGAAAGGTGAAATCACCCAGTATAAAAGGCAAGCTACAATTTTTCCTACAGATCAGATCTGGCAACAGTTGATGCTGTTATTTTCAAAATTGTCTGGGGGAGTATGTACCAGTCACTCGACCTTCTTTTGTGTAGAGCTGGGGATGATTCACAGTGCTGCAAGTCATTCTTTATGTTGATTAATCTGTGCAACTGAAAACAGCGGGCTATTATTAGACACTGAATGAAAAAACCTTTGAGATTTTAATGTACCAGTGTACGATCTCAAACTCTGAAGGAAAAGTTCAAGTTTGTGTTTTGCCTTGTTCTTTATGCCAAGTGTTCTGCTATAGATGATTTCCAGGTGCTTAGCATAAAAAGGAGGAAATTGGTATCTGTACTCAGAAGGAATACTGTAATAGTTGTTACTTTAATTCCCAATCTTGTGTAGCAATATAATTGTTCTAGTTGAGTTTCCTTTTTGATCTGGAGCTCTAGCTGCCCTTTCCAGTATCAAAAATTGCTCTGAACAATATATGAAATTTATTTACATTTCTCATGCAGGTTGGTGGTAGACTTCAAATGTGGGTTGGCCGAAACGAAAGACTAAAATAAATAGAATAATTTAATTATGGAATCATTAAGGTTGGAAAAGACCTTTAAGGTCACCAAGTCCAACCATCAACCCAACACCGCCATGCCCACTCAACCATGTCCTGAAGTGCCACGTCTACATGTTTTTTGAACACCTCCGGGGATGGGGACTCCACCTCCTCCCTGGGCAGCCCCTTCCAGTGCTTGACCACTCTTTCAGTAAAGAAATTTTTCCTAATATCCAATTTAATCCTCCTCTGGTGCAACCTGAGGCCATTTTGTCTTGTCCCATCACAAGCTGCGAGGGAGAAGAGGCCAACACCCCCGCACCACAACCTCCTTTCAGGTAGTTGTAGAGAGCAATAATCAAGAAGTAACATTTCATTAAAATCTTCTTTCGGTCTGTCTTGATTGTTTAATTCCCAATAGACTATATAAATTCAAATGATCTTAACAGCAAGTGCTTTTCTTTCTCTGTGAAGGCAAGCAGGGCTCAGGCACAGGAGACCAGGCTGGATGTGGTTCTGGGGATGACTGGGAGAGGAAGTTGCCTGTTAGTTTGGCCAGTTGGTCCTTGTGTGACCTGACCTATACGTTTGCGTGGCTCTAGGGGGGATGTCTCCTTTCGTAGCATTTGATTCTTCCAATGAGAATTAGACTAGCAAAAAAAGATGACTTGCTGAAAAACTGCATTCTAGAGGCATGGAAGATTCATGGAGAGAATGAATCAACTCGGTCTCATTTGTTTTTTGCATATGACAGGAGGAAGCTTCTCCTTATTCTTTACTTGATATCTGTTTGAATTTCCTGACTGCCAACCTAGAGAAGTTTTGCACAGAAAGGGAAGATGGAACGCTATGCTTGCAGGAGCCAGGAATGTTTCCTCAAGAAGTGGCCGATCGATTGCTGCAGACAATGGCATTTCATGGTAAAAAAACCCAATTCTTTGTGGGTCATCAGTGAAAATATGTTACTGGAATGTGGCACTGCAGTTCTTGTGTATTTTCTAGTGAAATCTGCTATTGCAGCTGTTAAAACTCTGTTCCTTAATCTCTTAATAATTTCTGTTATTTTGGCTTTTCCACAGCTTCAGATGGATATTGCATTGCCAAGTAGATAATTCTAAATAGAAGGTCCTTTGTCTTGGGTTTATGATTTTAATTTAATGTTCTTTAAACTGAATATTCTTTAATAGACTTTCAATCGCTTAAAAAATATTTGACTGTACTACTTCTAGCAGCACTCAAATGTTTCAATATCTCCCACAGAGCAATTAATTGAATTTTCTTTACTGTTTACATGTGATTAAACTAGGAAGTGGTGTTATGATTTTAATTAATGTTTCTCATCTCTTTTGGCACTTTCGTTGAAGTGGAATTATTTGCTCAAAAGCAGTCAGTTTAAAGAGTAGTATAAACATCTGTGAAAACCACACTGTGGTAGTCTTACATTTCAGGTCCTGACCTGTCATGTTCTCTGTCGGTTTTTCCTCATGTTGAAGTTGAACCTCCTGTGTACTGGTTTGTGACCATGCGCCCTATCCTCCAGGCACAGATTTGATTGAGTCTTACTGTGCAAATACTGGGGTTCTAGTTTTCTCCAGTTGTTCCAGTCAGATGCAACAGTGGAAGGGTCCTAAAAATAAACAAAAAACCAAAGCCAAAAAACCTTTTCAACATACATTACTTTCTGATAAGTAATTATGTAGAGTAGTCCCAAGAAATCAGATTCGAGCAAACTGAAAGCAGAAACTTATTACCAGTTCTAGCGGTGATGAAGGCGGTTCCAGACACTGCAAGATCACAGACACAGTCTCAAAGTGCAAGATAGCGAAAAAATGCATGCCAGGTAAACAGGGTGTGGCTAAGGCAGGCCAGCGAGAAAGCCTACCTTGATCCTTGAATGAAAAGATTAGCAAAAGTTAAGAAGAAATTTAGCAATACTTTAACCAAATGATAATTATTTGTCACATTTAGTCTTTTTGCTGGGTACCAGTCGTTTCACCCCATTTTTTTGCTTTCTCTGCGAAAGAGGAATGTCCCCACTCCTTTGCTTTTTAGAAAAGGTCTGCAGATCTCAATTTGACAGTCACAGAGACAAGTACGAGCTTGGGACTTGAATCCAAACTATAGCGGCAATGATATTTTTATTCTTATGTATTGCATTTTCTATGTTCAGTAGGCTTGATGATAGGAGATAAAAAATGAGTGTTGATATTTGTAACTCTAGAGAGAAACTAGGAGGACGTGTTCTTCCTTACTCCTCTTGTGTGCACACTTGTGCAACCGTACCCTTCTCACGCGGCATTGCATAAGCAGTAATCCTCCTGTTTATAAGACACAAATAAGAAACCTTGGTGTTTTCAATACCTTTTGAGTAATCCTGTGCGTGGAACTACCTGCACTATTTCACTTCGGATGTTGCCAGTGTGCTGCAAGAGAAGACTGCTTGTGCAGCCTTCTTGCTGAACAAAAACATAATCTCAAACAAGATCGTTGCATTTCCTTTCTCAATTGCTGTCTTTTTCTCCTTCCCACCCTTTCCTTGTCCTCCTCTTTCTCCTCTTTGAATCGCTTTTTAGGTTCATTTCTCACATTCGGCTTGTTTCTGAGCAACACTCCTACCTTCTTCATGAGAGATACATAGAAGAACTTAATTAGCTTAGTTTAGTGTATTGATCCTGCTTATGAATCCAATCAAATGCTACATTAGTCAATTGAGTTAAAGCAAGATGAGAACTGGCAACTGATTGCTGGTTCTATCTTGAGGTTAATGGAACTGTGACCAGGGAAGAATAACTTTAAGAAATGTCAAAATTCTCTTTTTAGCACATTTCTAGCCAGTTCAGTGAAAAAAGCCAGGCAGCAGTCTGAAGGGTTTTTAATTACATCCACATTTTATTTATTGCATGTTCCATGCTCTGAACCAAACAGGTAATATGTATGTACTGCATCTTAATTTATCTCTCTTATTCCTAAACCTGGCATTTCCAAGACTGTAATCTTAAAAGTAGAATCTCAAATATAAACTTTTTGGATGATAGCATAACGATCCAAGACAAACTACCTTGCAATTAATTTTCTTTGTTAACACCTTGTACTCTTCAGGTCCTTAAAACAAAAGTGGTGTTTTACAACACTGGAGCCAAATACTAATGCTGTTTTCCAACAGGGCTTCTGAATGATGGAACTGTGGGCATTTTCCGAGGCAACCAGATGCGTTTGAAACGAGCTTGTATCCAGAAAGCAAAAATCTCTGCCGTGGCTTTCCGGAAGGCGTTCTGCCACCACAAGCTGGTAGAGCTTGATGCTGCTGGGGTGAATGATGATATAACGATCACAGACATTATAAGTGGACTTAGCAGCAATAAATGGATCCAACAAAATCTGCAGTGTCTTGTGCTGAACTCTCTAACTCTTTCTTTGGAAGATCCGTACGAGAGATGCGTCAGTCAGTTGTCTGGGCTTCGTGCGTTGAGTATTACCAACGTTCTGTTCTACAACGAGGACTTGGCAGATGTAGCTTCACTTCCTAGATTAGAAAGTCTGGATATATCGAACACCTCTGTCACTGACATTACAGCACTTCTCACCTGCAAAGACCGACTCAAGTCTTTGACCATGCACCACCTGAAATGCTTGAAAATGACCACAACCCAGATTCTGGACGTTATAAGAGAACTCAAATACCTGAATCACCTTGATATTTCAGATGACAAACAGTTTACGTCAGACATAGCACTTCGTTTACTGGAGCAGAAGGATATCTTGCCTAACCTTGTGTCTTTGGACATTTCTGGAAGAAAACATGTTACAGATAAAGCTGTAGAAGCGTTTATTCAGCAACGGCCCACGATGCAATTTGTGGGACTGCTAGCTACTGACGCCGGCTACTCGGAGTTCCTAACGGGAGAAGGAAACCTAAAGGTTAAGTGGGGGAATTAATTTTACTGAAAAATTACAATGTACAGGAAGAACAGAACTAATTGTAAAGAATGTATGTGGGTGTTTCAGAAAGCGGCTGTAGGTTCATTTCTTTAACTGTTAATTGTAATTACTGACTTTATGTCCATTTCCTGCTTAATTCCGGCACAGAAGCTGCTACATTTACTTAATACTGTTGTAAGAAGCATCTGTTTTCTGTGCCTTTTTAGTGAGCCTTAGAACCTGGTTTAATGTGTCAGTTCCAAGAGAGCTGAACTTTGCCTAGTCTGAAGTCATTTACGGCAATAATGTTATCTGGGTGCCAGCACAGTATCCAGTGTCAGGCAGCAACGTGTAAGAGGTGCAGGTACTATTTGCATAAGCTTTGAGCAGTTTATGATTAACACAGCAGCTAAAATAAAACCTAATAACTGAGCTGCTGTTGTACTCCGTCACCAAATCTATTTCCTGTTACTGTATTTCTACCCGCCTTGAAAGGTCTTTTGGTGATGAATGTGTAAAAAGCAATTACTTAGGATGAAAAACTTCCTCTTGAACAAATCCTAAATTACTTAGCCCCTTAGGATGAGATGATGTTTGCTGAACTGCAGTTATTTATCTTTCAGTGCCAGACAAGAAGATGTCGTTCCCTGTTCTGTAGAATATGAATGCATTTACTGGAAAATGAGCCTATCCTGTCACTGCTATGAAGGGGTCAGAATTAAAGAAGAAAAATAGATGTTTTAGACATGTCAGTGTCAGTGGTGAATCATCTTTGACTCTTTTGAGGTTTTTTTCTTCTACTATGCCATGAAGATGATGGAAACTACAGAGGGAAGGAGGAAGAGTTTGCATAACGTGTCCGTAGTTTAGGCTGTCACTTACGCAAGTTGAGTTTTGCACATCAGTTTTAAAATTCACAATGCTCTTGTTACAGGCAAGTGAGGTAACACAGCTACACGATTTTATAATTCTTTTTCTTTCCTGGAACTTCTGACAGTTGTTAATGGCTGAATCTCTTGAGTACGTAGTTGTCACAGATACTGATAGCGACGTGTATGAACACTGAGATGTGTTGTTGGAGAAAGCAAGTTCCTGTTCGGTGTGATTAATGTGTGGCATCAGGAAATTACACCTTATGTGTGGTATAAAATAATTCAATATAATCCTTGCTATTTAGATACACGCTTCATACAAGTGACTGTGCTATGCAAAGGTAGGAAGGACGAAGGTTCTAGTAATGTGAAAATCATGATGGACTTGCAGCAGTGTAGTTAGCAAAAAGCATTCTGCAGGGTTTTTTTTAAGGCATAGCTGTCAAGGTGAGACTGTAGGCAGTGATTAGCTGTGGCTTTTTTGTTGTTTTTAGGGGTTTTTATTGTGTGACTGAAATTCGCTAGTGATTATACTGAAATATTCAGCTGCTTAGTCTAGGTACTGCTAAAGAATAAACAGGACGCAGCACTCACAGAGACAGCAGAAGTAAAATATTACTGTCTTTACAGCAGTCCTGTGAAATTTAATAATAGAAAATTCTTGAAAGGTTAAACACTAGGCAGACATTGTAGATGAGAACATGAAGCCAAGTGGAAATTCTTCATATAGTGCGTAATTGGCTGCAAAACATTGTCAGTAAATACGATTGCCCAGTTCAAATCAGTTGGAGAATGTACAACAAAATCCAAGACAGTATCAGTTCTTTCAGGGCTGTAACATATTCCTGATTTAGAAAGTTTCAGGGAAAAAAGGCTCTGTACAATACAGGATGCTTGGAACATCACACTTCAGTCTATGAACATTTGCTTTCCCTTGTGTGACGCACTAAGTAGAACAAGTTCTGTGCGCTTCCCTAAGAGTTATAAAAAACAGCGATTGCAGCAATGGTTGGTTAAACAGTAGGACTGAGGAACAAACCATCTATGGTTATACAACTTCCAGTTATAAAGTAGATAAAATACACAGAAATGGAAAATACAGCAGGTTGGGAAGTGGAAAAATCTGCAGCTAGTTGCTAATTTAATAGTCTGAACTTAAGCTCAAATTAGTCAACAGCTCACAGCTTCTAATGCAGTCATCACCTCAGTTAGCTCACTGTTTAGTTTTTACATGTAATTAAAGTTTGGTTTTAAGAATTACTTCTTTTGCAGAGAGCATGAGTTATTCTTTAATGTGGTACTGGAGAGCTTTTGCTACAGATGCAGCTTGTAGGAAAGTTGATGTAGACAAAGAATTAAATCTTATTTTATTGGCAGAGCTAGAACTGAGAGCCAAAAAATTAAAGCCAAAACACCATCTTCATCAGTTTATCAGTTGCTTTTGACAGAGCACTGAGTGACAGATAGCCCTTTAGGGCATTTGGTGCATCATAAGCAGCTTTTGTTAGTTATAAAGTGCCACTTTTACTTAGTGGTTTCATGCAGTTCTGCTTAAAGCCAGGACTGAAGCCTAATTTTGGTTTATAATGTGGATTCTTTATGAAGAATGTTTGACGGTTGCGTAGCCCTGGATTAATGTGGCCAGATAACAATTTGTTTACTGAAGGGTTTGGCTAAATATATCACCACCTTTGAAACTGCAGCTTTGTACTTTTTAAGAACAAAATTTTAGAAGTAAAACGGTGACATATTGAACCGAAGATTATTTCTCTGTTCATAGGTGTCAGGAGAAGCAAATGAAACTCAGATTTCTGAAGCACTGAAGCGTTACAGTGAGCGGGCCTTCTTTGTGAGAGAAGCACTCTTTCACTTATTCAGCCTGACACATGTAATGGAAAAAACAAAGCCTGAAATTTTAAAGGTAAAAGAATATGGTTTTGATGGTTGTCATGCATCGTTCCTTAAACTGACCCTATCCCCCAACGCCCCGGTATAAATTCTTTCACAAGGTTTTACATGTTTTGGATGTGATTTTTAAGATTAATATTGTAATGCTGGATAGAAATTAACAACTATTCAAACAGTAATGATGTAGAAGATGCCCTGTAGCATTTTATGTTAGGCAAAATGGTTCTGGACTAATGTATAGTATCTAAATTTAATAGCCTCTAAATTAATTTCTGTCGTGTAATTTTGAATATGATACGAAGTTTTCTTCAGATGTTGAATTCTGTCATTAGAACATATCTGTCTAGGGTCAAATCAAAAGTCTGTCTAGTCTCATTTACCAGGTATAACAGTGCCTTCTGCTGATGCTCACAGAACAGTAACAATAAGGAAGGCGTTCAGTGATACTTGTCTCCGCTGCCATCTTCCAGTACGATAGCAAGTGAATAAATATAGTAAGTGTTCTATATTGGGCTCTAACTTGGAAAATCCTAGAAACTTCCTTAGAAATCCATTCTAGGCTGTGACTTTCCATCTGTAGAACACCAGAGATGGTTTAATTTTTACTGTCATGATAAAGAGAGGCATCAGTTGAACATGTGATTTTTGTTTTTCCTATCCTCTCTGATGTTGAACAAGTGACCTTGATTTTGTTGGCTTCAATGTCAAAAAGACTTTGTCTATCAATAATCAGCAAGAAAAATATTTTCTTAGGTGAGATCACAATCAACATACAAAAAACATAATCCAGGAAGAAGGTGAGAAAAATACATCCTGACCTAGCAGCTTAGGATGTGATCTGAAATGAGTAGTCACTGAGCAACAAGCCGCTACATCATTACCATTGCACTGCAGAAACTCTGTCCTACCTCTTTCTTGTCTGAAAGGATTTTGTCATTTTTTTAATCCAAGTGTGTAGAGCAAACCTTGGATCTTTCTAGGTAGAATCTCTTGCATCCCATGCAGCATCTCCTTTGAGAGTGCAAAAGGACTTGGAGAAATAGAATCACAGAATGGTAGGGGTTGGAAGGGACCTCTGGAGATCATCTTGTCCAAGCCCCCTGCTACAGCAGGGTCACCTGTAGCAGTGTGCACGGCGTAGCAGCCAGGTGGGTTTTGAATATCTTGAGAGGAGACTCCACAGCCTCTCTGGGCCGCCTGGTCCAGTGCTCTGTCACCCTCGAAATAAAGTAGTCTTTCCTCATGTTGAGCTTGAACTTCCTGTGTTGCAGTTCGTGCCCATTGCTCCTTGTCCTTTTGTTTGTCTAATGCGGACAAAACTCTTGCATTTCAGCTTGTGGTTATTGGAATGAGAAATCACCCCCTGAACTTGCCTGTCCAGTTAGCAGCAAGTGCTTGTGTCTTTAACCTGACCAAGCAAGATTTAGCAGCAGGCATGCCTGTGCGACTTCTGGCCGATGTCACTCACTTGCTCCTGAAGGCCATGGAACACTTCCCAAATCATCAGCAGGTAAAAGAGGAATTGTTTTTATTTTCTGTAGGATTTCCTTTCTTGTGGATCTTAAAAAAGGTTTTTCCACATCTCATGACCACATGGGAATATATTTAATGATTCACAGCAAGGAAGTATTCTGAAACATGTATGTCTGACGAAGTAATTATTTTTCATTTCTCATAGCTGCAAAAGAATTGCCTTCTTTCACTGTGCAGTGACAGGATCCTTCAGGATGTTCCGTTTAACAGGCAAGTTTTGTACGTCAGTTGAAGTCATTTGTAGCATTACAGACTACTTTTCTTGTCTGTTCCTTCGGCAGGTTTGTTTCTGGGCTCAGTTTTGCTCTATTTAAATCATTCCAGTGTGCTGAATTTGTCTGGTTTATATTATTTTGGGCCTGTAATTCACGATTGAATATAGGTCTGAAAAAAATCCTTTGATATACAGGTATTTTTTACTTCATCTGGTTGTGTCTATCACTAATTGTGTGTAACCGAAGTCGGGATTTCTCTGGGGAACTGTGGGATTGCTTTCTGCAGAGATTTTTCTAGTTAAAAGTTTCACTGAAATGCTTGGAAGTGTGTTGGTCTGATGTTTTGGAAGATTGTGCCACATTTTTCTCCTTTCTTTGGAAGCAGTTCCTGTGCACTTCAATATATAGTTAGAAGTAAGAGACCCTAAGCAAACAACTCAAGGCTGACTGAGGCTCATGCAATACCTGTAATTTCACTGTGTATTTCTGTTTATTTTTATTTTTTTTGGTAGGAGGCATACTTCTTCCAGTTTGTTTTGTCTTGCATGTGTTTCTGTCTGATGTGTTGTCTGCGTACATCTTTCCTTTACTAAGACTTATGAGGCATCTGAAAGGAAATTTATTTATTTTTAACTTCCAGGTTTGAAGCAGCCAAACTTGTTATGCAGTGGCTGTGCAATCATGAGGATCAAAACATGCAAAGGATGGCTGTCGCCATAATTTCCATTCTTGCTGCAAAGGTACAAAATTTAAGTTTTGGGGCGAGAGGATAATATTTCTAAAGCCTGAAAAATTGTTGATGTGGTTGTGTTTGTTCACAGCTTTCAACAGAGCAAACAGCTCAACTTGGCGCAGAGCTCTTCATCGTTAGGGTAAGTCACATTCTTTTCTGACAGTCAAAAATACCATCCTCTCCAGCTATTCGTGCTAGCAGTGTTCCTAAAGGTACAAAATAGACATAAGTAGATGGAATTCTAAGAACACATTAACCTGTATTCATTTGAAAGTGCTTTGGAAAAGAAAGGCCTAGGGAATTTGTTAGAGATAATATCAGAGGCAGTTGCAATGAGACATATTAGCATAGGTGAAAAGAAGCCAAAGCAGAAAAACTTGACTCAATTAATACAAAGTAAGATAGCAAGACAACCCTTGATTTGAAATTGTATAAGACAACAGATGCTCAAAAAGAAAATATTTGAAGTAAGTGGTTAGTGCTGTCGAAGTTCAGGTGGGATCCAGAGTTCTGTTGATGGCTTTGTGCCATTTGGTCATGGTCACCATGTGTAATTATGGAGAAAACAAAGGAATTCCTCTAGCAGGCAATCATGTTCAAAAGGGAGGTAAGAAATTTAATAGCTGTTTTATTTTGTATAGTTTGACCCTAAACGTGTAGATCTTTACTCTGCATATAAATGATAGCTGTGCATTACCCCAGTTGGTGGAGAAAGAAGCAGAAGAGCTAATACATTTTTAATATGCAATTGTAACTGGGACTTTTGGACTGGTTCATTGATTCTTATTTTTTTTCCCCAGCAACTTCTACAAATAGTTAAACAGAAAACAAATCAGAATCTTGTAGACACTACCCTCAAGTTCACACTGAGTGCACTTTGGAACCTCACCGATGAATCTCCAACGACATGTCGGCACTTCATTGAAAATCAAGGGCTAGAACTTTTCATGAGAGTCTTAGAGGTGAGGAGTACAGTTTTGGTGGTGGATTATCAACATAGGTTCATAATTAATGTTGTTTCAATAATAAGCATAAATGGTTACCCGTAGTTTGTTTCTCTTTTCCACAGTCTTTTCCATCTGAATCATCCATTCAGCAGAAAGTTCTTGGACTTCTGGTGAGACTGAAAAAAAAGCATAAAATACATACTTTTAAGAATGGATTTTTTTTTTTTTACCCCATGTTAATCTGAAAACTTACCTAACTTTTTTACATTCTTCTGTGATGTTTCTAGTAGGCATTAAACACAATTGACATTGTTTTGGACTGTTTTACCAGTTCTTTGAGGGGAGACCTCATTCATGGTTATAAATATGTAAAGGGTGAGTGTCACGAGGATGGAGCCAGGCTCTTCTCGGTGACAAACAATGATAGGACAAGGGGTAACGGACACAAACTGGAACACAGGAGGTTCCACTTCAATTGGAGAAGAAACTTCTTCTCAGTGAGGGTGACAGAGCCCTGGCCCAGGCTGCCCAGAGAGGTTGTGGAGTCTCCTTCTCTGCAGACATTCAAAACCCGCCTGGACGCCTTCCTGTGTAACCTCATCTGGGTGTTCCTGCTCCGGCAGGGGGATTGGACTGGATGAGCTTTGGAGGTCCCTTCCAATCCCTAACGTGCTGGGATTCTGTGATTCTTCTAAAGCACTAGTTATGTTGGAATTGATGGTTACAGTTAACAAAAGAGCTTTTAAGAAAGGAGAGTGAGTGAGGCTTAAGATGAGTGCAAATGCAAAAAGTAGGTTGTCAGTCAATGGAATTCAGAATTGTCCACTGCTTGAAGTTTACTGAAATGACATTTGAGAATGTTAAAAGTAGCCTTTAATTTAGTGTAATCTGCATGCTGATAGCCTGAAATTACTTATGAGAAAACCTCTGGTTTTGAGGCAAATTCCTGCATTAGACTGGAAATGTTTTCAAAAGCAAAAGTAGTATTTTGGTATCTGGAGGTCACCTGGGTAGATGAACTTCTCATCCATCATTTATATGTGTTTACTTACACAGCGTAGTTCAAGTTTATGTCTTGTCTCTCTCACATCATGTTCTTTCTGTGATATTTTCTCTTTTCTTCTCCCCCTCCAGAATAACATCGCTGAAGTTAAAGAACTCCATTCTGAATTAATGTGGAAGGACTTCATAGACCACATCAGTAAATTATTGCACAGCGTGGAGGTGGAAGTCAGCTACTTTGCAGCAGGGATTATCGCTCACTTGATATCTCGAGGAGAGCAGGCCTGGACATTAAGTCGCAGCCAAAGGACATCTCTCCTTGAACAGCTGGTACAGAACTAATGGTGAATTTTATCATACTCTCTAATATTTTTCCAATGTTTGTATTTAACAATGAGTGTTCTTGGTTCCATATTTTGCAGCATTCTGCCATTTTGAATTGGCCAACCCCAGAATGTGAGATGGTGGCTTACAGGTAACTACTGTCTTGATTCAGAGTTTGGAAAATAAACTGAACTAGATTTAAAACTTGTTCCCAAAGCAGAGTGAGCTGCTAGCCAGGCATGATTTTGTCCAGTGGAAAACGCTCATCGGCTTAAAATATACAGTGTGTTTGTTTTCCCTATCTGACCAACTAAGATTAGGGACTCTCGGGTTCTGCCTGCTTTTCTATTGAAGGTAGAACAGTAAGAGCATACCACTATATATGTTTTTTGGTAGTAAGTGTTTTAAACATTTAAAGGCTTGCCTGCTTCATCTAAAACTCTGGTTTATCAAGTGTGTCTCCTAGTTATGAGTAGACAACACGTGATCTCTGAGGTAATAGTATCTAGTAGTAAAACAAGTTGCTCTTCCTCTCCTTTTTATAGGTCTTTCAATCCATTTTTTCCACTACTTGGCTGTTTCATGACACCTGGTGTCCAGTTATGGGCAGTGTGGGCCATCCAGCACGTCTGCAGCAAAAATTGTATGTATTAAGATAATATTACCCTTAAAATTGTGATTTCTTAGCGTATTATTCACTAGCATGGAGTGGGAAAAATAAGAATTTCTTAGTAATAGCAGTAGTATTCACTCGCATTCCCCCTAGAGAAATTACATTTAGGCTTTGACTAAACAGGGTAGAAAAAGAGAGTAATAGGAGTTCTTCATGTCCTTTTTATTTACTGGAATTTTACTCTTAAATGCACAGCGATAATTCCAAAATGTGGATATGTGTTAAGATTAACTTTATTTTTGGCTTATACAAGTGCTTGTATTCAGAAATGTAAATACTGATAATGGGCAACAAATTTCTTTTAAATTAACGACAGTTACTGTGGCAGGTAGCTATCTGCTATTATCAGAACAGAAGTCTTGGGTAATCCTGGTCTCCAGTCATCTTTCTGCAGTTACCTGCTGTGCCAGGAGCTTCAGTTTTCTAATCCGTTTGTCCGATACGCAAAAGGAGAACACCAACGTCTTGTTTGTAAAGTGCTTTGAGAGCATGTGATGAAATGCACAAGTGCTGGGAAAGGCAATCAGTCCCCATAGCCCATCTAAATGTAAGCCTGAAGAAACCTTCCTGGCTTCTAGTGCTTTTTGCTTTTTCTGACATAAACCTCTATGACATGGTTGTGTGTATTGTCATTAACTTCTACCAGATACAAAGCAGCTTTCCTCTAAAGTATTAGAAGTACTTTCTGTGCCAGTATTTTTCGTCTTCTTGACAGCAGTGTATCTGTGCTTGTTTATCCCTCGCCCATAAATCACTGTTTCTGCAGTGAAAAGACCAAAGAACAACATGGCATAATACATAGTTGAACACAAAGCACTGTTTGCCTGCTCTTCATAGAACTCATAACTGTAATGAGACACAGTTTGCAGGACACACGGTCCAGGGATCTGTGAGGACTTTCCCGTTGTTGAAGTGGGACTGTTCTGACAAAGTTGTGCTAGGGGTCAGACTCTGGATAGTAATTTTTGAATAAGACCATTTAATTCTGTGTTAATGAAATTAAAGCAAGCTTCCTCCCCCTCTTTGTGCCTCAGCTCTTCAGTTTAGTATAGTCCTATCTGTTCTATTTATTTCTAGTGTTTATTTTGTTCTGCCCTAGTCTCTGGGCTTTCAACATGCCACAGAATCTGTATTGCCAGTGAGTAACTGCTCTGTAGAATGGAGAGGCTGGAAGTACTTGGATGGCGTACTCCAGATTTGAGATCACGACAGCATTCCTGAAGTTTAGTGCTGGACAAAGTTGCAGAGAAACCAAATGTTTGGTAGCAAATATAATAACTACTCTGAGAGAGAATGTATTTAATTCTGAAATACGGAGATTTATCTGGGGGGGAGAAGCCTTAAACTTTTGGTGCTTGGCACCAAGAAGGCTTTTTGTCCTGGAGAGAAGATGCGTTTTATTTTGACCTTCTCTTTTAGGTGAGGGTGGAAAGTGATCTGGAATTAATGGGATTGATTTTTCTTGGGTTTTATTTTTTCTTCTTTTGCTGTTTCTCTGTATCATATCCACTACAATGAGCTAACTTAACTAAAACATTAGTAGCACTGCAGTAAATGTGATCCTGGGTGAAATGCCTAATGTCAACGTTTAAACAACTCTGTTGTTGCTTCACCAAGGTGAATGGTGAAATTGGGCACGTCTGAGGTAATGCTCTGTGCATCCCATTGCTGTCAGCCCGACCTGTTTGTAACAACTTCTGAAGCTTGCATGTTACACTAAACATACGGCTCTCCTTATAATGCTGGTAATAACAGCGGAGTAATGTCAACTTTTTAAAATTGGTAATGAGAGTGAAAGAAAAAGTATCATTTTGTCCCTGAAAAGGCATTCATCGCAACTTATAACTAATTAAAGGCCACCATCAATAGTATTTGGCAACCTGTTTTTGAAGGAATTCGTTCCTGTTCACTCTACGAGCCTGTGCAAATGATGTGGTATAGTTGATACTGTTTTTGGTGACTGTTCTGAACTGAGGTTTTTGTTAAAGTTAGTATTTTTATCTGGATACCCACAGATACTGCAGTACTTCTGATTCTCATTTCTTAAAACTTATATATGTGCACTTAAAACAGAGGAGGCAGGGGAAGAGAGAGAATACTGTGCATATCTCAAGGCACTTTCCAGAGAGCTCAGACAGACATGGAAACAGACCTGACTGCAACTGGAGTCCTGTCCGAAAACCTCTGTTGTTCTGTTGTCACTTTCTAAAGTACAAATGCATTTCTGTAGACACTTTAGGGAGTGTCCGAAATGCTGCCTGGTCTAGGAGAGAAAAGCGGATTTGAATCAGTGTTTATAGTACCTGCTACACTTACTCTAGAGAATTTTTTTCTAATCTTATTACAGCTGCCAGGTACTGCAGCATGTTAATTGAAGAAGGTGGTTTACAGCATTTGTACAACATCAAGGAGAACGTCCAGACTGATCCACACGTCCAAAGGATTGCTATTGCCATCCTAGACAGTTTGGAAAAACACATTATGCGTCATGGGAGACCACCTCCGTGTAGGAAACAGCAACAAAATAAACCAAACTGAAAGCTGCAGGTAGAAGAGTGTAAAGTATTGTCTCTGTAATAATCCTTTCTGATGTGTGTGTAGTTGGAGTAACTTGTAACATAGTGGTCACCATTAAAGTGATTCGCCGGTGATTGTGGTACCCAGAACCATGTCCGGTAACCTCTGAGGAACGGCACCTTTAATGGCAACCGCATATGCAACTTGTAACGGGTCACTGCTTGAGCTGGCCGTTCCTGTAGGATTACTGCTGGCTCCACAGAGGTGGGATTGTACAGGTCAGTGTGCACATCTGAATAAAAGACTTCTAGGAACATCCCGTTTTGTTACTGCTGGGGCAGAAAGTTATTTCATCCCTATGATTGCTGTTCATAACACTTTACCAGTTTGGTGTTTGAATAGAACTGTGTGTGGTTGTGAGATTCAACACTTACAGATTTAAACAAAAGTACATGCATGCAGGTTACAGTGAGACTTGTAACTAAGGCGACCAAAATGTCCATCGTCTCATAACCCTTCTAAACACAAATGGGGTCTTCAGCTTCCTTTTCCTTTTGCCTGCAAGCTGTGGGGTTTTTTTTGTTTCCTCTTGCTGCTAGAACAATGCCTTCTTGCAGTTCAGCTCTCCTGAGCCCTCCCTACTGTTAGTAAGTTGGGAATGAGCATTGCACCAGGGAATGGGGAAACCTGCTAAAGTAAAGCAATAGAAACAGGATTAAACAGAGACACAATACTAAAAGAATGAAATAAGCTTGAGATTTTAAACTTGATAGCAAGAAGGGGTTTTGTTGTTGTTTGACTGCTTTCGCTTGTGTTGCTCTTTTGTTTCTAAAATGCTGGCAGGAAAAGGAGAAGGCTCACGAGAGCAAAACACTGACTTGTCTTCATCATGAAGGGGATAACATGCCCTGATAGGAGGCCCAGGATATTTGGTCACCTTATTTATAAGAGACTAATGATAGCTCTGTTGTTTTCTGTAAATATTCTGTCAGTATTGTGCAGTGAAATATATTACTAAGTCATCACAATGCAAATACCACCCGATGTTCTGTGTAAGCCCCGTGTCAATCGCATTGTTCTGTGGAGTGTGAAGTTTTCCATAAAGATGCTAATTGTAACAACTTATTTCTTCCTTGGGTACCTGTGGGTTTCAAATGATGTGTTGAATGAAACATGCTGCACAGCATACAGATGTCTGATAAAATACAAGTGATGGAAGCAAACTGCACGTCTGTTCAAATTGAGTTTAATTTCAGGTGTTGTTTTTGTTTACCTGGTTACTCTCCGTGTTTCCTTGGCAAACTGATCGATAATCAGAGACTCTTCTGTAAATACATTGGTAATTGAGTTTAAAAAGAAAACTTCTGTGTGGTGGCTTACCACCAGGGATGGCTTCTTCATGATGACCGTATTTTAGGATTTTAAACTCCTTCACTCCTCCAACTCCCGTCCTTCAAATTAAAATATCACCTCTAATCTTCAATAATGTGGTTATTGTGCATTTCAGCAACTTCAAAAGGTACTGATCCAGTAATTTAATCAATGTTGTATAATTGTTTTTTGTACAAAGCTACGATTTGGCTACGATCATTTTCATGTGTGTACCTGGTTATATAGTTTTCTCGATTCAGAAAGAAACTAAATTGGTTGTAGCTCTAATTATGAAGATGGTTTTAAAACATTAAGGCCTGTGTAAGCCTTTACCCATCACCCTTCTGAGATGTCTGGTATGGAACTTCTGTCGCGAAATGTCCGTTACATGAAATGGAACACAAACCTTGTCAAAATTGGTGTTAACAGAATGAATATAAATCAATTGCTACAAGATTTTGAAATAAAGATGACAACTCTCCTTACAGTACTGTTTTGTCCTCAGAACAGGAGAACTTGCTGAAGCTTACCTAAAATGGTGGGGGAATAAAAAGGAATCTACTACTACTGCATGCAGCACAAAAGGAGTGTTACACTGGCATCAGTGCAGGTGGTGAAGATGTAACTCCACAAAGCTCTGCAACCAGCAAGCACAGAGACTGTAAATGATTTTCCATGCCCTTGTTTTGTTTCCATATGCGTTAGGCACAAAACAGCAGAATTCTTTTAAGCTGGAAAGTATGAATGCCTTCAGGGTGTAAATCCACTAAATTTATTTGCATGTCCCAATTACAGAAAGGTCTCTTCACATTCCTGTGCAGCTTCAGGTCCTGCCAGGGTAGAATAATTCTGGAAGCAGCTTTTAAACTCTCTTATTTCCCCTGTGGCATTTGCCATCATTTTTGTCTTTGGTGAAGGCTGAAGGTCATGACTCCACTCTGGCTTTGCAGATCTTTACACAGGAAACTTGTACACGTATAATCTGGTAAGGTTACCTCACCCACAGAATTGTTTGGTTAACTTGTGGCACAAGTGGAATTGTGGTGTGCTTCGAGACAATCGTATCATGAAATGATGTCCAGTTCCAATATGGTAAGACACATTGCGGAAGTATATTTTGATAATCTATGAAGTATTTACCACAAATACATTTCTCTAACTCTACTAATTCACTTTTGCTTTAAAGCTCCAGCCCTGGGAAGTCAGAAGCCATAGAGCTGAATTGTGTGGCACGTCTCAGTGCTGCAGAAACCTCTTAAGCAGAGGGAGAAAATAACTTCAGCAGCAGCAGCATTATTTGCCAATAAACTGAGGTGGTCGTTTCTCCTTGAAGGCAGCCATCCCTTCCTGACGGTCTCTTGTGGGAATATTCTGTATTAAAAAAAAATATTTAAAAATGGCATGTTTTTCATTGACAAGTCTGATATGTTTTTAAGCACTGACTAATTTGGTTGCAATTGTCTAAGACTAAGATTGCTTTTCTTTCAATGATACATTAAGTTCCGCCTTCCATGCTTTGCAATTAGGAAAATAAAGAGACTGGGTTGTAGTGTAAATCACAAGCAAAGCATCTAAGACAAAGACCACAGAACTATATAGGAAAACAGCTTCTGTAAGTGTAATATTGTACCATCTTAAAATACACTGAGAGGCACAGCAGTTACGTTGTCCTGTTAGCTGAGAAAGGTGCACGCTCTCAAAACTTGCCAGAATGACTACAAAAGGATGTGGTGGTTCTAATTTGTTAGACCTAAAAGCACTTGTAAAGCTTATCCTGTAATTAACGTTGTTGAAACTAAGAATATACATTTACTTTAGACAGAAGGGTATTTCAGGAAGGACTCTGGCCTTGGGCAGGCTGAGAGGCAGCTATGCAGGACACAGCAGTTAATATTCTGAAACAGAAATCTGGATCTGCCCTCAAGTATGTTCTCAAAGCTTTACATTTAGCCGTCAGTGTTCCCTTATAGAGAGGAAAACGGAGGACACTGAATATCTGGCTTTAGCAAATGCATAGTAGTTCCTTTCAGGAATGTATTCTGAAGGTGACCTACCTGGGCATAACACATCCCCTCAATGGCCATCCCTGTCGCAATGTCAACCTGGGGGTGAGAGGGAAGGCGTGAGCGTTGTCCGAGGCACAGCCCTCAAAACTACTTCATAGCCCTCATAGCAAACACTCACTCATGAGTGATCTTCACTGCTGTATTAGAACTACAGTGTTACTATCTGTAGAAAAGAAATCCTGCTGTATTAGTTTTATTATTAGTTTAGATTTTCTTTAAAGCCTCTGAAATGGTTTCAAATGCCTTGTCTAAACAAGGATGATAACTTACCTGTTTTAAACATTTTTATGGTAGTAACTTTTAAGAGCTGCCTGTCTGTTTCATTTACCTCCATATTTGAAAAAAACACAACCAACCAAAATTATTACCTCCATTCCTCTGTTTATTGCCAGTTTTCCCATTTTCACAGCAAACGGAGCCTTTATGGAAAAAGAAAACCACAGCAAACAATTAAAAATAACTAGCGCCACGTTAGCTCGTAATAGTGTAGTTGTTCTCATTATCCTAGCTCCAAGTGACCTTTTAGTCTACAGAAATTGGCAGTTAACAGGTATTTCAAAACCAACTTGGCATTATCTACAGCTCATAGATGTACACAGTGCAAGGTCTCATAACCGCAACTGGGAGGTAAAACTGTCCTGTGGGTTAAGCAGCTGGATGTTAGTACTTGTTCCTGCTAACGCAGTAGCATTCACAAAAAAGGACAGAATTAAGAGACTTACACATCAGGAACCAAGACTGTAATATTTCACAGAAAGCCATTTTAATTGTTTGCTTGCTGTCTCTCAAGAGCAGCAGAAACGCCTTCTTTACGTTGACCACATGAATGCTACACTCACCTGAGGAAGGATTTCTTTAGCCAAAGTTAGTGCTTTCTGGTAAGCTGCATCTCCCTCGTCGTTTTGTGGCACAGTGTGATTTACTAATCCTATGGACAAGGCTTCTTGTCCATCAATCTGTCTACCGGTGAAAATGAGTTCCTTTGCAAGACCTATTCCAATGCATCTGGGCAGGCGCTGGGTTCCACCTTAAGACAACAGCAAAAACACTGTTTTCTGTTTCTGAGAAATGCCAAAAACCCAAATAATATCTCCTTATGTGACAAGGAGGTTTGAAAAATAAAGGGATCGTGTGTTTCTTTAGTAACTACTAGCTGAATATGTCAACATTTCCCAAGGCACCCGAAAGGCTTTAGCATCCTTCTGCGTATTTTGGTAAACAGGAAAAGGTGTAAAGGGACCTTCCTAAATTCACAGTAACTCAGGCACAGGGTTTAAAACAGAAATAGATGTCTTGGATCGCTGGAAGATGCTACTTCTAATTTACATTCAAAACACTTCAAGTGCTCTAATGGCAAAATCTTTACCATACAGCTGAGAAAGTAAGAGACTGAACATTTAAGGAAGGTTACCTGCTCCAGGAAGCAGCCCTCTTGTGGTCTCAATAAGGCCCATTTTAGCTGATGAAGCTGTTAAAAAAAAATAAAATACAGGGTTTAGTTACTTTTTGATCTGTGTAACTACAAATTTTCCATACTGAACTGATTAATAAAACTATGCAGTCAATACTGAACTGGAACTCCATTTCTCCAGGTAGCTAAAGACTCTGAATAGTATGGTACTCAATGTCTATCTCAAGTCAGATGAGGGATGTGCAGTATGGGTGCTAACCCCTAATGTAGCAATTTTGTCTAGAAAAATGAGCCTTGGGTCCATACTCAATGAAATGTAATGCATGGAAACAGGAGGAAAGCTTCCACTCCAAGCTCATTTAGGTAAGGAAGATTAGATCCAGCCAGAGTGCAAATCCAATATTACATGATAATAACTATTTAATCCTACCAGGAAAGAGTTTTCTGAAGGAATCCTAATCTAATCTAAAAACAGGCTTTACTTTTTAAGCAAGGAAACTGCTTTCCCAGTAGTAACCAAATGTCACAATTTCTGGGCAAATGCCTGCTCATTTCCTGAACTGTGTTAAGTTCCTCTCCTAGCCTGCAGGATTCCATTGACAGTCGGCTACCATGCATGTAAGCTCTTTAGAATACAGGAATTGATTACACAGATAATTAAGCAACACACAAACCTGCTACTCGAAGGTCACAGGCTAACGCCAGTTCTAGTCCACCACCCAGTGCATAGCCATCTATTGCAGCAATCGTGGGTGCAGGCAGGGCAGCTAGAGAAGACAATATCAATTATGGAGTTGTGCTCCAGAAGTTCTCTTCCACTTGCTTCTGGAATTTAAATGTTTAAAAACTAAAGCTTTTAGTTCTCCAATTCAAAACTGTTCAAGAATTCATTTTCTTCTGCCACAAACTTTCTGACTGTCTCTCAGTAGCAGAAGCTGTCTTTTTGCCCTTCTTCCTTCTCTGTAAGAAGAATGCAAAACGTTCTTCTTGTATGCAGAGAAGCATGCAAATACAAAGTACTGCAACACAAAACAGGATGAATTGTCTCCTTGCAAATTTATGATGAGAATATCCAGCTGCTGCAGTAAAACAGTGAAAACACCATCCCCAGTCACTGGTACAAGGATTGGCTTCTCTGGTGCTTTTGTTAGCCAAAGCTCCTGAGCTTGGTAAATGCTGTTGTCTCTTCATAGTTGAGGAACCTGACGTACCTGGAGATGAACTGCTTGATAAGAGACCTTTCCAGATACTCGGGAGCTGGAAGCAGACTTCAGACGTGTGCTAGCTCTGTGCTGTAACTACCTGCACAAACCCCCCACCCCCAGACTGCTGCTGTGGTTTGTGAGACAGGGTCATTCTCTCTACACTGTGGTTTGTTTTTTTCATTACTGTGATTCTGATGGGTATTTTGGTCAGATTTCACTTTGGTATTCCTCTCTAGTGAGAGCACAGCAATTCATAAATAGAGAAAGAAAATAAATTGCAGAGGTCCATATTCCTACTGGGGAAAAAAAAGAGGGGAAAGAAGTTGTAGCCACAAACCCCCTGACTTTCAACAAGTCCATTGAGAGATCACGTTCTTAGGTCATCGCTGTATCATGAGCGCTTCAGAGCATCTATCAGAAGTGGGACAACCAACATGGCACTTTGTCTGGCAGCGTCTCCCAAGGGTCACATAGAACTGTGCCTGGACAGCTTTGTTACAGCAGGCAGTTATTATACAGCTGTGTGTGCTGCTCTTCATCATGGAAAAGAAAGTAACGAAATGCATCTTGTCCTTGGAGTAGCAGCATGACAGCTGGTATTTAATTCTAATCAGATCTTTGTTTTAGACGTAAGCTGGAGCCATTTGCGAAGCTACTCCTAAACAGAGAACCTGCTGAGGCCAGCACCCTCCTCCTGCAGCATTTCTAAATGTCTCAGCACAAGCAGCCTAGGACAAATTTCCCAACAGACACAATATTTTACCTATTTCATCCATGAGATTTCTCAGCCTTTTAACAAAGTGTCCAACTTCTTCATCATCCATCTTTGCACGTTCCTTTAAGTCTGCACCTAAACAGGGGAGAGAAAGGTTAGAATGGAGGAACAGGGGGAAGACATCTAAACTGTGTTCCTTCCCAGCCATCCCAGCAGACAGACCACTCCAGAAGTCTTGAAATAGCGTTCTGGTTAGGTAAGGTCAGTGGATGCTGGAGTGTGGACACTTGGGCTGGAGCAGTGGCTAGGGTGCTCCTCTGTGCCCTTCGAACAGATTTCACAGAGGAGCACCCATCACTGTATGGAAGCATGATAATCCATAAAGCTGGAAACCAAGGACTCCAGTACCAGAGGCACTGTGCTTGCAGATGGTTATAAAGGGAAAACAAATAATAGTACCACAGAGCCTGCGCAGCTCACTCCATCACACACGTCCTCACCACTGAAGCCAAGCAGCAGACAGGCAGAAGAGGTAACAACGTGTTTGCTATTTGCTAGACTAAACCCAGTCTGTTTTCCTTTCAGCAGGCATTTCCAACTGCTTTTCTGCACAATATGATCGGCATGCAGCCCTAAAAGCCGTAACAGTTTTAACAAGAGTTTGCGGAGCCTTTGTTACTTACCAGCACAAAATACACCCTTCACCTCACTTTTGAACACCACCACACGAACCTTCTCATCAAAGCGGAGTTTTTCCAGGGCGCTGAACAGCTATCAGGGAGAAGTACAAGCAAGGGAAGAAAAACTTTAGACACAGCGATGTGTATACCTAAAATATAGCAAGTTCCTAAGCTATGATAAAAGTTGGGGTTTTTTTCTTCCCTGCAGGAATTTCCTGGAAATCATCTATGTGGAGCCTGCACGATCCTTCCACGACAGCCTCAGAATGACATGTTTCCCCATCTCTTTTTTTCCCTCCATTCAGAGATGCACCTTTGCTGTACCTCAAACTCCCCTTCCTGCCCAGGCATGAGCCAGACTTTAGAATGTATCAACCTTGAGCAGATCATCTGCTAAGGACTGACCATCAGGATGTTTTTGGTGTAATCATGCAAGTGAGGACATTAGCTTGCCTCTGATATATCTAAAATAACTCCATTTATCTCTGCCAGTCCACATCAGAAGTTACTGCAGTGAAGACACACCAAGACCTCTTTTTTCTTCACAGTCACCTGCCTTGCCCCAATGGAGTCTCCCACTGACCTTCAGAGATGAAGTGTTGGTTTCAGAATTCCCACAGCTATTCTTATTGCATTTAGTTATTGATTCCAAACATGGTTACAGGCCAGGCCCATACTCACTTCATTTACAAATACTTTTCCCAATGAATTTCTCGCGTGGGGTCGGTTCATTAGGATTTCAGCAATACCTTAGTAATAGGAGACAATTTCAGTTATACTTCATTTAATTCTCTGACACAGTAATTCAACTGGGAACAATATCTGCATATGCTGCATCTTCTCTTTCCTGAAAATGCATATAAAGTATACTCTAAAACAATCAATTATTTTAAAAGTGGAGGTGGTAGATCAGGTCTATGAAATTCAGGTATGCAGGACAACTGTAAAATTCAGTAGCACTTTAATATAAATAAGCAGACTTAGAAAAAATGAACATGACATCCAATGATATGGCTTAGAATCACTGAAGGAATGGAAAAAAAAAACCCCACCAACCCAAACCCCAAATGATCCACCTGAGGTATCTGTTCAAACGTTACTTCAGTTTTTACTGTATAGTCTTACTGTGTTCAAGTATATTACTTAATGAGGAAAACCATCTTCTTCAGACGGCTGTTTGCATGAGAACAGCACAAACCGATCACTCTCAGTTCCTCTTCCAGAGCCATTTTGAAATTGCAGCTCCATTTAATTTAAAGTTAATAAGCTCATCGGTGCAAAGACCTTCACTCAAAGTTCCTAAGTCCAAGCAAAAAAATAAGACCACAACATCGACCTACTTCTCCCTTGCACTTGTGTTTTGTAAATTATTATCCAATGGTTTCTTTGGAGAGAAAAAAACATCTCCTGTTTCCTTGGCTGGACTTCTGCTCCCTTCCCAGGCCTTAACATTGTAAGATGCTGTTGCTGCTTCTGCCAGGGCACAGATGCACCTTGCATCTGTCAGACCAGGTCCTTCTGCTCTGCTAGATCTGTCTTTATTTCTCCACCTGTGCCAGCGAGAAGTTAGCAGAGAGGTGTGTCACACAGGAACAAAGACACAGGTAACAGCGGGAACCAGCAGTCAAAGGAAATCCACAGTTCTGGTAACCGCGTCCGTGTATACGTAACTAGCAGAACTACCAAGAACTGTTTAGAAGCTTTTGCAATACTTATTCTTACCAGAAAGTGAGTGCATTGGCAATCTGAACCAACACTCGAACTGCTTAGTGCCTCTGGTGCATAAATAGGCACAGACGTCCCCTGGTCATACCCTACCTTTATCACACTACTGGTGTCAGAAAACTCCAAGGTATGCAAACCAGAACTTCCTGTATTGAGATCTCCTGCATACATAACTATTTTTTCTTTAAAAAAGGCATCTAGCTATTTATTTGGCAGCTGTGTGCTTGAGAAAAGTACCATAACAAAGCAGAGACCGTAAGAAACC